GCTTCACACTTTTCTAATGCTGCATAGAGCTAATCCTACTTCTCTATAAAGTTACTTAAAATACTAACACTTACTTAAAAGTAAGAATATTACAAGCGTTAGTAAATTATTTCATTAATATTCTATAGTCATTTTATATGTATTTTTTATAACGTACCTAACGGGTTGGCCGGCCACACAGGTTGGCCGGCTACTTTTGCTAAGCCCCTACTAAACTCTACCTATCTACATAATGCTTTAACAACAACACTAGATTAAATCTTCTAAAGAATGTTAAATATAGCTTACTTTTTAGGCTTTTAAATAAGACTTAAAACTTTTCTTATAACACACTATAGCTATTTATAATGTCTTTTACACAACACTAAGTAATTAACACGCTAGATAACCTTTATAAGTAGAATGCTAGCCTAAATTAAAGAATCTAACTAAGCTTAAAAAAAAAGTAGTTATTAAGTATATACTTAAGCTTTTTATGCGTAGATTTTTCTTTAAGCTTATAGCTGTAGCTAATATAGCTAATTCCTTGCCTATAAAGCGCAATCTAGGCTAGGTTAGCTTAAACTAGCCTAGTATATAAGTTAAGCACTACTCTAAGTTTATAATAAAGTTTAATTATAAGTATAATTATAAAAAAGTGCTTTATAAGAATCTAAAGGTTATCTAAAGCTAGTTTTGCCTAGTAGCTAATATAAAAGCTAAGTACAGTATCTAGGATAAAAACACATATAACTTTAACAAGTTAAGCTTTATAATAGGCTAAATATTAACTAAAGCAGTTATTCTAGCTTTAAAGAGATAAAAATAGCTAAAAGTAATATAGTAAAGTAATAAAAAGTAGACAATAGTTATTTAAAGCATTAATATAATAAAGTAGGCTATAAGATTATAAAGCTTTAAGTAGTAAATAAAGCTACTACACAACATAAATTATATTAAAAAAAAGTAGATTTAAGTAAAAAAGACTTTAATAGTTAAAAATAAGGCTTATTTAACTGCTCTAAAGAAGTTTAAAGCGCGTAGTAATAGAAAAAAGCTAAAGACGCAGGTGCGCGCTAAAAAAGGTAAGCTAAGTTAAAGGTAATATAAGTAGTGTAATTAGACTAGGCATAACTTATATATATATAAGTAAGTAGTAAAAGTAGACTTTAAATAATATCTTATGTTATATTACTTTATACAGGGCTAAAGTGGGCTGTTTTGCGAGAGAATAGGGTGGTTTTAGTGGGGGCTTAGCAAAAGTGGCCGGCCAACCCGTGTGGCCGGCCAACCTGTTAGGTACGTTACAGCATGTTTTAATAATAATAAGTTTAGCATTTACTATTATTGTTACTTATATAAAGTAATATATTATAGCTATTTAATTCTAAAGTACTTGTGAAGCTACTAGTTCTTACAAAAAGTAATAAAGCTCTGTAATACTAGAAGCAGCCTATACTAGAGTTCTTATGCGTAATAGATATATATATATACTATTTTATATATAGTATAATCTATTTGTTAATTATTTACGCTTTTTTAGTTATATTAGTACAGTAGCATAGAGCCTTGTTCTTACAGTACTCGAGGAGCTTAACATAAAGTATAGGCTTCTTAGCTTTTATACCTTAGCTTCTTATTATAATTAAGCTTAATCTTAGCCACTTGCAGCTATATTAGACTAGAATAGACAAAGAATGATTATCTAGATACAATAAAGCATAGAAAAAGAAATAGCGTGTATATAAACAGTAGCTAATTATTGTCCTAGAGAGAAGTAATTTGTCTAAGTCTTCTACTTAGATTCTAACTATTTAATGTTTAAATAAACTACGTTAGATAAGAGCAGTTTAGTCTGTCTATAGTATTACACACCTATTATTTTAATACTTCTATACCTTTGTTAAGATTTGCTCTCTCTCTTTCTCTCTCTTATAGCTCTGCTATGCACCCTCTATCTTATATTTCTTCTCTATGCCTTATGCTTCCTGTTTAATACTCTTAGATAGAATAAGTTAGTGTAATAGCTTAACGCGGCTAGCAAATACCTAATAACAGTGCTAACTGTAGGCCTAGTTTAATGCCTCTTTTAATATAGCTAACGTGTGTCGCATTTTACTACAATTTGCTATAGATTGCTATAATTTGCTGCAAGTTGCTGCAATCTACTACAAGTTGCTGTATTTTACTACACTTTATAATAGTTTGCTTACTTTTTTAAGGCTACTAGCTAATCCTTAGCTAACAGCTAAACACTAGCCTCTTATACTCTTACATTGCCTTACACTTTAATTCTAACAAGAGGATATTAGAAAACTACAAAGCTAGCTAAGAGGAGAGGTGCAACTAAATACTTAGAGGAATAGAGGTACAGCAGAGGCTAGAACAGAGTTAGAGCAGATACAAGAAACCTTTAAATATAGGTTTGTTAGGTAACTTTAAATAAAACAATTTAAGCAAATTGTTGCAGTCTAGTAGTATATAACTAGACTGTAACAAAGTTGCTAGAATATTATCTAAGCAGCGTAAGTTTAATTCTTAGAGATTATATTTTTTTTATTTTTAAAAAAGGTTTAACTAGTATCTAGTTTATATACAAAGGTTCTTTTTTAAGACTAAATTTTAGTTTATAATACATTTTAAATATTATAATAGCTTTATAAGTAGATATAATACTGTCGCGTATACTAAGAGCCTTGGCTAGGGCTTAGAGCCTGGTCCGCGGCTCGGGATCTAGAGATAGTATGTTCTAAAGCTCGGTGTATATAAGGAGAGCCTTCAACTCTCTTAGAGAGTAGAGTCACTTTATCCGATCTTCTAAACAGCTATTGCTAAGCTATTTTATCCTCTACAAATACTTATCTAAAACTTTATTTTATTAAAATTATAGATATTAAAATTATAGATTGTTTACTTAGTAAGAGTGTTATATATATAAGTGTAAACTACTTTTACATAACTATAGAATTCTTATATTAAGCTTTTTATAGTTATACTTAACTATAAAAAATATATTTTAAGCTTAATAGTATATTTTATAAAGGATATAGTCTAGTTTACACTAATATAGCTTAGACTATAATAGCTTAGGCTATAACGTACTTCACAGGCGAGTTGCTCACACACCTAAGTTGCTTACTTTTGCTAAGACCCTACTAAACTACCCTTTCTACACTAATGCATTCCCTATAACACTACTTAGACGCGCTAAAAAAATGTTAGATATAGCTTACACTTTAAGCTTTTAAATAAGACATAAAACTTTTAAAAAAATATGCTATAGCTATGTGTAAAGTTTTATAAAAGATAATAAATAACTATAGCACTAGACAACCTTTACAAGCTAATTCTACAGCTAAATTATAAAGGCTAAGTAATAAAAAGAAGCAGGTAATTATTAAGACTATACTTAAGCTATATACATAAGAAATTTCCCCTTAAATAGCATTTATAGCTAATATAGCTAATTCTTTGCGCGCTAAGTGTAATCTAGGCTATGTTTATATAAACTAGCCTAGTATGTTTATAAAGTGTTATTTAAAGCTTAAAGTAAAGTTTTAAGCATAAGTATAGTTAAAAGATATTTAGCTAATTATAAACTTTATCTTACTAAAGTTATATGTGTTATTATTTTAGATACTATACTTAGCTTTAATATTCTTTATAAGGCTAAACCTGCTTTAAATTACTTTAGAACTCTTATAAAAACCTCTTTTATAGTTATACTTATACTTAAACATTACTTTAAGCTTTAAATAACGCTTTATAAACATACTAAGCTAGTTTATGTAAACATAGCCTAGATTACGCTTAGCGCACAAAAAATTAGCTATATTAGCTATAAATGCTATTTAAGAGAAAATTTCTTGCGCATATAGCTTAAGTATAGTCTTAATAATTACCTGCTTTTTTTTATTACCTAGCCTTTATAATTTAGCTATAGAATTAGCTTATAAAAGTTATCTAGCGCTATAGTTATTTATTATCTTTTATAAAACTTTATATATAGCTATAGCACATTTTTTTAAGAGTTTTATATCTTGTTTAAAAGCTTAGAGTGTAAGCTATATCTAACATTCTTTTAGCGCGTCTAAGTAGTGTTGTGGGGAATGCATTAGTGTAGAAAGAGTAGTTTAGTAGGGTCTTAGCAAAAGTAAGCAACTTAGGTGTGTAAGCAACTTGCCTGTGAAGTATGTTAATAGCTTTATAGTTTATTAGCTATATTTTTTATAAATTTAAGTTAGAATAAATGTTTAGTAATTAGTATCTCTAATGTTAAATAGGCTCTTTTAGCTAGCTGCTTATAATATGAGCACTTAAGTAGCAAGAGTAAGAGTAGTGTACGGTGTGCACAGCGTACGAAGTAGGTAGGGTGGGGGCAACATGTTTCTGGTTCTATTGCTCTGTCTTTTCCTCCGTACAGAGGAAAAGGGGAATATCTAGATGTTCGCGCACGGAGGTTCGCGCACGAGCATTATGTGACATAGCTACGTGATCCTTCTTGTGCGCAATAACTAGTATCCAGACTGTAACGCTGCTGCTGCGTACGGACATCTAACAAATTATTGCAGGTTGATAATAATAAGGCCTATCTCTTTGTTAACAAACTTCATCATTATTGGCTCCGCAAACATAATACTCACTCCCCAGCTCTCTGTAAGCCATTCCTCCTAATATCTCCACGCTTAGTCTGTCTCTTGGATCCAACCTTATAAACTTGAGAATAGATTTCTTGTCTTGAAAGCCGCTGTAGTCATCACTTCGCGGTCAAAATCGCGGTAGCAGAATCTAAGGTGTCGGTCTTGTGGATAGAGCCGCCATGACGTGGTAGAGAAGCATGAAGTGATTATGCTTTCACGTGACAGTTACGCTCACTAGCCTAAGCAATTTGGCCATAGCGTCAAATCGCCACTACCATACGAGAAGCAGAAGGCTGCAAGGTGCCTGCGGTCCGTTAATCTTCTCTGATATGTCTTAACATATCCTCCATTCTTCAGCTAAATACAGAAATGATTTTTCGCCTTTCTCCATGCAGGGCGTATAATATGGTAATGCACATTGTCTTCAGCTGCGGGTCGTGATAAGCATCTCCATACAAGCTCCTCAGATCCCCAAATCCTCAACTCTGCACAACCCATCCGCCATCCCCGCCACTGCCCACGTCCCGAACTTCAAATTCGGATTCCAGGCTAAACACGTCACCGCCGTCTTTTCCTCAAAGATGGTAAGGAATTTTCCGGAATCTGTGTGCTGTCGAACGGGCTTAGTGTTTTGGAGCCCGACTTGGGCGACTTTGTAGCCTTCTGTGATGCGGGAGAGTGGCTTGTTGAGGACGGCTTGGGGGACTTTGTTTGTGGGTGGGGGTGTGGTGGTGGATTTAGAGATGGTAGTATTAGGAGGTGTTTGGATGGTTTTGTCTCGTTCCTGGGTTTCTACTTCTCTCAGGGAAGTTTGCGTAGTTTGATATTGTTCCTCTTCTCGAATTCCTCCTCCTGGGGAAGTCCGAGTAGGCTGATCTCGTTTCTCGCCCACATCTCCGCCTCTTTTAGGAGAACTTTGAGCCAAACCATCATTATCCCGTTCGCGCCCGACACCCCCCTTCCTATCATCCAGAGGCTGCAACGGGAGCTCCTCAACCCTCCTCCTCCACTCATGCCAAAACCAAACCTGCTGCCACGGCACCTCCTTATAGTTCAAAAACCTAGGTATCGGATTCGTTGCCGCACACATCCCATCCGCCGCACCCATTAGCACCGCCGGCTGCACTGGACTCGTCGCACAACATAAGATCTGCGCCTCCATGCGCATCGAGTGGATATTCATGTAGTACCGTCGGATGGAATTCGAGCGAATGAGATAGTTTTCGTCAGGCGTGAGGAATGATTGAGTGTGTTCGTGCCAGGCCTGTGTGAGACCGAAGATGCGCGCCCGGGTTGTAGATATGGTGTCGTAAACAGGAGAACGCAGGTCGAAGAGCCGGGAGAAGCCATCTGCGGAGGTTAGGGAGATGAAGTGTGGGCGGGATGGATACCCCGAGCTGATGGTTAGGATGTAGGTGTCTGCGGCTTGTTTGTGGAACCAGGGGCGAGGCGTGTATTGCGGCGCTTTGTTTGGAGAATTGGACTCTGAAGTGGAGTCTTTTGGCGAGGGCGGAAATGTGTCGGGTCGAGTGAGCGTCCAGATTGCGAGGGTGCCTGCGGTGGTGCCGAGCGCGATGGAAGTTCCCGACAGCCAGTGGATACAGGTCGATATGGTGTCTGGGGGTTGGATTTCGAAGGCTGCTTTTGAGAAGTGGATGTAGCGGGTCTGGGGGAACGCTGAGTCTGGCTGTGGTATCCGTATATCGAGAATCCTCATTTTTCCGTCGGACCACACACCTGCTAGAAGTCCGAGGTGAATCTCATCGTCCCCCTCTTTTGGCTCAACAGTGTCTGCAGCCGCAACCGGACACCATCTGAATTGTCTCGGCATGCCCCAGTCCGTACATATAACTGCGACAAGCCTGGGCTGCATGTCCGGATCCAGATCTCTTTCTTCGGTTGACTCGAAAGTCCAGATTTGAATCGACGTCGGAAAGCCCTTCGTCTTCGTAAAAGCCGGCGCCTTGGGGTTCTGCAATGGTTTCGTGTATTTCCCGGCGGCTTTCTTCTGCTGCACAGCCACAGCCAGATACTGCACCATGCCCTCCTCATCCGGTACCCACTGCGCCTCATGGACCCTCGCCCCGAGATTAAAAGTCCAGCCTCTTCTCCCCCTCTTATCCACAAATGGCTCCGCCACACCCATAAAACTCCCCTTCTTTATTGAATATAGCAACGGGTGCGTATACGCTCCCAGCAGCACATTAACCTCCTTATCACCGTCATTTACCAAATACTTCTCCCCCTCTTCTTGGCCCAACTCCCTGCACACTTGCCCATTCTCAAACCCGCTCTTCCCAGTTCCCCAATACCACTCCCGCATCATCTTAACCTCCCTCCCCATGGCCTCCCTCGCAATGTAAAAACTCGGTCCCAAACCCCACTCCCTCTTCGACGGCATCGTATCCTGCGCCTCCCATTTATCCCTCGTCAAAAGCACAGGTTTCAAATCTTTCATACTGGGCCCAAACAAGAACTTCGCTCGGACCTCGCGGCCACCCTCCTTCCCCCATTCCTCGACACCGCGGACATGCATGCGGTCGATGCCCATGGCATGGACTTTGGTCCCATGTTTCTTAGCCAACGCTTTCGAGGGCATGAAACCGGCACCAATTCCCGAGGGCCCTTGGACTGTCGTCCTCTCTTTCCCTCTCCCAAGCGGGAGTTTCGATTTAGCTTTCTTACGCCTCCCTGTTCCGTCCCCAGGGCTTCCGGGATCGACCTCGCCGTCTGAGAAATCCACTTCTACAATCTCCTCGCCTCTTGCTAGCCCTAAATCGGCATCTCTATCCCCACCCCCACCTCCTCTCATCCCGTCGTCACCATCTCCAACATCGGAGGGAGAGGAAGCGTCAAGTACAACTAACTCCATTAAGTCCGCCTCATCCTCATCCTCATCCTCAGCGCCGATGTCCTCGATCTCCGCTTCACTGGCGCTAGAAGCAGCGTCCGTGGTACTCGAGCCCGAGTCATCGGAAGCATAGAGGCAGTCTTCAAGGCCTTCAAAGGGATCGACGGTATATTTTTTTGCCGCGGCGGTGTTGCGGCGGGAGGGGCGTGTTGCGGGCATGATTGCTGACCGGTAGTTGGAAGCTTGGCAGAAAGAAAATAACGGAGGCGAGAAGGGAAGTTTGTGTTATGAGTTTGAAGGCATTGCGGAAATAAGGACTCCAGTTGTCTCTTTCAACTGCTGATTCGAAATTTCCGAAACAAACAAATAGCTTTCCGTTCTGGTAGTTGTGTTGCATAAAGTTGGTTTTAGGTGTGAAGCTCGTGATTTTATTTAGCGTATGCGGATTTCTTGGCACCACTTTGTAAATTTTCTTCCACCAACTACTGTGTTTAGTGCGGCCTCGCGTAATGCACAATTTTAGCAACCTGCGCTTTTAACTTTTAATGCTTTAAAGACTTAACGTAAACTATTCCTAAGCTAGAGAAATTACTAAGCTAGTTAAATTACTAAGCTAGTTAAATTACTAAGCTAGACAAAATCTCTTAGCGTAAGTAACACTATAACGTACACTATAGGCAAGTTGCTTACACACCTAAGTTGCTTACTTTTGCTAAGACTCTACTAAACCACCCTTTTTATACTAATACATTCCTAATAAAACCACTTTAACGCGCTAAAAGAACACTAGATATAGCTTATGTTGCGTTTGCCAAAAGGTCAACCTCCCAGCTAGCACAGCAGAAGGATATATGTAGACGGATAGCTGTACGCGACACACCCCCCAGCTTAAACCGTAGAATAAGAGAGGTGAAACATGTTAAAACAACCTTAACACACCCTTCCTCTTGCCTAAGCAACAGAACTTAGAGACAGATCTAAATACAAGGTAGCCTCTGTAATAGGCGCACTGCCTAAATGCTCTTTGCTAAGCGTAGGAATTAAACACGCAGTGTTCTAGGATAATGCAATCCTATTAGTAGAACAGGGGTGCGCAAATTTTTAAGCGCTAACTATTTACACTACGCCGCAAACTAGGCTTATAACTGTTGCGTTTGCCAAAAGGTCAACCTCTCAGCTAGCACAGCAGAAGGATATATGTAGACGGATAGCTGTACGCGACAGCTTATACTTTAAGCTTTTAAATAACATACACTACAGGCAAGTTGCTTACACACTTAAGTTGCTTACTTTTACTAAGACTCTACTAAACTACTCTTTCTACACTAATGTATTCCTAACAACACTACTTAGACATGCTATAGCTATGTATAAAGTCTTTTAAAAAATAATAAATAACTAATATACTAAATAACTTTTATAAGCTAATTCTATAGCTAACTTATAACATACTTTACAGGCAAGTTGCTTACACACCTAAGTTACTTACTTTTACTAAGACTCTACTAAACTACTCTTTTTATACTAATGCATTCTCTATAACACTACTTAGACATGCTAAAAGAATGTTAGATACAGCTTATACTTTAAGCTTTTAAATAAGACATAAAACTTTTAAAAAAACATGCTATAGCTATGTGCAAAGTTCTATAAAAAATAATAAATAATTATAGTGCTAGATAATGTTTATAAGCTAATTCTATAGCTAAATTATAAAAGCTAGGTAATAAAAAAAAGTAGGTAATTATTAAAACTATACTTAAGCTATATGCGTAAAAAATTTCTCTTTAAATAGCATTTATAGCTAATATAGCTAATTCTTTACACACTAAGCATAATTTAGGCTATGTTTATATAAACTAGCCTAGTATGTTTATAAAGTGTTATTTAAAGCTTAAAGTAAAGTTTTAAGTATAAGTATAGTTAAAAAATATTTAGCTATTTATAAAGCTTATTTTACTAAAGTTATACATATTATTATTTTAGATACTATACTTAGCTTTAATATTTTTTATAAAGCTAAACCTACTTTAAATTACTTTAGAACTTTTATAAAAAGCTTTTTTATAGTTATACTTACACTTAAATGTTACTTTAAGCTTTAAATAACACTTTATAAACATACTAGGCTAGTTTATATAAACATAGCCTAGATTATGCTTAGTGCGCAAAGAATTAGCTATATTAGCTATAAATGCTATCTAAGAGGAAATTTCTTATGTATATAGCTTAAGTATAGTCTTAATAATTACTTACTTTTTTTTATTACCTAGCTTTTATAATTTAGCTGTAGAATTAGCTTATAAATGTTATCTAGTGCTATAGTTATTTATTATTTTTTATAAAACATTATACATAGCTATAGTATATTTTTTTAAGAGTTTTATGTTTTATTTAAAAGCTTAAAGTGTAAGCTATATATCTAACATTCTTTTAGCATATCTAAGTAGTGTTGTAGAAAATATATTAGTGTAAAAAAAGTAGTTTAGTAAGGTCTTAGTAAAAGTAAGTAACTTAAGTGTGTAAGCAACTTGCCTGTAAAGTACGTTAAAAGCTAGATAATAATAAAAAGTAAGTAATTATTAAGTATATACTTAAGCTATATGTGTAAGAATTTTCCTCTTAGCTAGTAACTATAGCTAATATAGCTAATTCTTTACACGCTAAGCATAATTTAGGCTACATTAGTATAAACTAGCCTAGTGTGTTTATAAAGTGTTATTTAAAGCTTAAAATAAAGTAATAAGTGTAAGTATATTTAATAAATATCTAGCATATTATAAAGCCTATTTTATTAAAGTTGTATATGCTATTATTTTAGATGCTATACTTAGCTTTTATATTCTCTATAAGGCTAAACTAGCTTTAAATTACTTTAGAATTTTATAGTTATACTTACATTTAAACTTTACTTTAAGCTTTAAATAACACGTTATAAACATACTAGGCTAGTTTATACTAACATAGTCTAGATTATGCTTAGCGTGTAAAGAATTAGCTATATTAGCTATAGTTACTAGCTAAAAGAAAAATCTTTGCGTATATAGCTTAAGTATATGCTTAATAATTACCTGCTTTTTATTATTATTTAGCCTTTATAAGTTAGCTATAAAATTAGCTTATAAAAGTTATTTAGTGTATTAGTTATTTATTATTTTTTAAAAAACTTTATATATAGCTACATTATATTACTTTTAAAGCGCCACACTTTATTTAAAAGCTTAAAGTGTAAGCTGTATTTAACATTTTTTTAGCATATCTAACTAGTGTTGTTAGAAATGCATTAGTGTAGAAAAAGTAGTTTAGTAGAGTCTTAGCAAAAGTAAGTAACTTAGGTGTATAAGCAACTTGCCTATAGTGTATGTTAAAATATAATACTTTTAAAGCAACATACTATAGCTATGTATAAAGTCTTTTAAAAAATAATAAATAACTAACGCACTAAATAACTTTTATAACCTAATTCTATAGCTAACTTGTAAAGGCTAAATAATAATAAAGAGCAGGTAATTATTAAGCATATACTTAAGCTATATACGTAAAGATTTTCCTTTTAGCTAGTAACTATAGCTAATATAGCTAATTCTTTACACGCTAAACATAATCTAGGCTATATTAGCATAAACTTGCTTAGTATGTTTATAAAGTGTTATCTAAAGCTTAAAGTAAAGTTTTAAGTGTAAGTATAGTTAGTAAATATCTAGCCTATTATAAAGCCTATTATTGCATATAATTATCTGCCTATATATATTCTTCTACTATGCTAGTTAGAAAGTTAAACTTTTAGTAACGCAACACTTATTTTATTAAAGTTGTATATATTATTATTTTATATGCTATACTTAGCTTTAATATTCTTTATAAGGCTAAACTAGCTTTAAATTACTTTAAAATTCTTATAAAAAGCTTTTATATAGTTATAGTTATACTTAAACTTTATTTTAAGCTTTAGATAACACTTTATAAATATACTAAGCTAGTTTATACTAACATAGCCTAGATTATACTTAGTGTGCAAAGAATTAGCTATATTAGCTATAGCTACTAGCTAAAAGAAAAATCCTTACATATATAGCTTAGTATATACTTAATAATTACCTACTTTTTATTATTATCTAGCCTTTATAAGTTAGCTATAAAATTAGCTTATAAAGGTTATTTAGTGTGTTAGTTATTTATTATATTTTAAAAAACTTTATACATAGCTGCAGCATATTACTTTAAAAGTATTATGTTTTATTTAAAAGCCTAAAGTATAAGCTATATCTAAATTTTTTTAGCATGTCTAAGTAGTGTTATTAGGAATGCATTAGTGTAAAAAGAGTAGTTTAGTAGGGTTTTAGTAAAAGTAAGTAACTTAGGTGTGTAAGCAACTCGCCTTTAGTATACGTTAGTACTAAAATAACTATATTAAAAACTTTAAAATAGCTAAAGAAAGTACTCTACTATGTAAATTACCTCTTACTTAGTAGCTTAATATTAGTTGCTACTTATATCTTAGACTTTTTAAAATTGCTATTAATTTCCTTACTATATCTTTTACTAGCTACAACTGTAAGAGAGCCTTGAGTAGAGGCAGTTAGATATTTATAATTAGTAGGAATAGCTTTATTATTAATATAATTAAAATTCTCTAGCTTTAAAAGAACTAGCTATGTTATTATATAGTAGATAGTAAATTAACAACGCTAGCAGACTATATTAGAAGGAAAACCCTAGCAGGTATGTTGTAACTTGTTGTGAGAAGTACGACTATAGGAGGATTGTAAGCTGTTGTAAGGCCGCTAGTCCTTACAAAGGATAATGCACTGTAAGGCCGGAAGCGGCCTGTACTAGGGTCCTTCCGCGCGACAGGTAGATATACTATTCTGTACGCAGAATTAACTGTTGGTTGATTATTCGCATCTTTTTAGTTGTATTGGCGCAGTGGTACAGCGCCCCGTCCTTACAGCTGTTATAGTTACGCTCTATAGTTGCTAATTAATTCACTCTTAATGTACGTACAGACTAACAAACTGAGAATTTACAGGCAGAAAAACGGTTAATTGTAGCGTATTACCTACTGTTGACAGCGCTGAACCTCAAGAAAACCATAAAGTGCATCCTAAGGAGCTGGATATATTCTGTGGAATTCCTGGCAACAGAAGACCAGATGTTGTGGGGGCAAGGTATCAAGGATTATGGTAGAGAAATATAGATGCTCATTGTACTTGCCCGGTACCTTCCCCCTTAAATGGAGGCGCAGGTCCAGACATTTGTGACAATAGAAAAAAAGATCCTTTAGTCCATACAATAGTGTATATGTATAGCCAACTCTAGGCGCCTGCTTGATAGGGGTCCTACGGCAAATCAGAGACGTCAGACTGCGCTAACTCCACAGATTATATTAGACTGTTTGAAATCACTCTAAGCGTATATTGTGCTGTAAAGGAAGGTACTCTAAATGGATTGGGAGCTCTGTAGGGCCGTGAGGTATAGATTGCGTGAGAAATATGGGCTGTGGCGCAAAGAGCATCTCAGACATTTGCCTGGTAGGACTTCGAGCCGGCGGGGGTGTAGTGGAGATACTGTTCGGTAAGAGGACATCACTTACGCTTCTTTCCTCTCTGTTCCTAATCAGTGGAACTTAGTAATTCCATAAGCCGTAGGATAAATGACAAGCGGTGCAAAGGGAAGGGACCTTGCCCTTGATCCCCCATTGCAATAATTCATTAACAGCAACTCCAGCACTAGCAACATGGATGATACCGCTAATGCGTTTTTAATTACCTCTTGAAGTCAGCGAGCCAAGCTTACTCTTATTTCCCCACTAAAATAGTGTAATGCATCGCAATATCCTGGGAAAGTCTGGATCATCCTTGAATGTGGGATACCTCCAATTTGCATCCGACTACCTAGGCGCACAGAACCAACCTAATCTGCATCGGAAATCCGGAGTGTATTATCGAAGGATTTGGGCTGCGGTTATATACTGTTTCGTCAAAAATGACCACTGGCGCATTTATCTGTTCGAATTTAGCTAACTTGCGCTTGTATTTCTGCCTTGAAGGCATCGTTGCTGAGGTATTTCATAACAATATCATTGATGCATCAGACAATGAACCTGCGGTTGAGCTGGAGATTCTGTGGGCTAATGTGGATCCAATCCATTCAATGGCACAACAGTGCAATGACGAAAATGCTTGGAAACGCTCTTTAAAAGAAGTCCCGGTGGTAGCGCTAGGACAGAACTGAATCAAACGCTTATAAATTAACAGTTCGTACATGTTCTACTAAAGTCCTCTTCATGTTTTTCGCATAGCTAATCTCTTACATATACAGTCACCCCCAATCATCAATCCCATTAACTTAACCCATGGTATATTCGGGCCCGCTTATCTCTAAAAGAGTAGACTCTGTTCTAGCCTTTAATAAAAACGATGAGAAAAGAGGCCCTTAAGGTATACACCAAATTCAAAGCAACTAATCCTGGAGAACCTCTCAGCCCTATGACGGACGCCTATATATTAGGCATCGCTTATGCCTGCACGCTATAGTTAAGAGCCGCTAGATGAAAGGTCACTAAAGTCGGATTTTAGCTTGTAATGTTCTATGCAGCATGCGCTGAAAATTTCGGCATCTGAAGACCATGAAACCGAAAGCTAGATTAGGTGATATCGATATCGAGCAAATGCTCTCTGTTGCCGGTTGGGCAATTATTGGGCATACATGGTTCTTCTACATTTCTAGCCTTCTCCCTAATAACACTATGAAAGGTCCTGTTAGAGGTAGACAGAGATATGCCGGTTTCGAAGCCGAGACACTCGGTTACAACCACATGGTACGAATGAAGAAAATAAAATATGTTGAATAAATGAATGCACAGGGAACTGGCTTAGTGTTCAGGAACACAAAGTAAGGAGCGGCAGTTAAGCGTGCGGACTGCAGACAACCCGTCGATAACCTCCTCCACACGATAACCACCCAGATTAGATCGCAATGGCTCCAGAACAGAATCTCTTGGTCAAATTCTCCCTGGCAGAGCTCTCGTACCCGCGTTCGACGCTGTCGCAGACGACGCTATCCGCCTTTACCACACCAAGCGGTCAAGGGACTACCAGTCTATGCGAGCCGAGTATGGCATTCCGGTAGGAGCAAAAAGGCAATGTGAGAATCGCCCTTAAAGACGGTGTCGAGGTGCTAGTTGGCTTCAAAGCTAAGGTCGAGAAGTTGTCGTCGCAGCCAGCACTGGGACACCAGGAAAGGCACCCCACGGTTGCAGCTGGCGATGTTCACATGACCGACAGGGACGACAATGAAGACGGTATCCGCGCCAAGGGCTAGAATATGTGGATATAGCTGAGCGTTGAGGTGCCAGGCTTTAGCGACGACAATGCTCTATCTATGGTACCAGCCTCAATGCTGCATGAGATGCTACCCAAAACTTACAACGATGCGGCCAACGTCCTACGATTCCTTCCCCCAACATAGCTCCTACAGCTTACTGAAGCGAAAGTCGACGCCTTCATTGAACCCCAACACCAAAATGCCTATGCTTCTCAGATCGCCTAGATGCCGAGCACATTGTCGCTGCCGATTTTAGCTTGGCTTGATATTACGACGATCGAGAAAGAGTTTACCTGCTGGTTGGGCCTCATTCGCTCGGTAGTTGGCGGATAGTGGCAAGAATAATGTGTGGTAAAGTGTTCCAAGGCTTCTCACATGCTCATTGGCTCAGTCAAGACAAAAGATGACCAACCGCAGGAATACCGTTATTGCACTCATCTGGAGACTAATTTCGAGGACAGTAATGCTGAAGAATGAGACGCAGTCCAGATAGGCAGTTCTTAATAGCTTGAACCTCGCATTTCCTGTAAGCGGGCTACTTATCACCAGCTTGGTGTTGTCTTGAAATCGCTTGGGTCAGGTAAACTTCGTTGTCCATTCATTATCGATTGAATCATGTTTTGGCAGTCTCTCGCGCTCGTTGCGCTCCTCGCGCAAGATGCTTCTGCCCAGTCATCTTCTGGGTCTTCGGATTTCGTTCGATTTGGCTGCTCCCAGCTCGTTGTCGAACGTACCGATCCCCTCGTTAATCCTGGCATGGCTCCTTCCCCACACATGCATCAAGTTGTTGGAGGGAACTCGTTCAACATCACTGTCCGTATAATATTTCACCCATTCTCTGAGCAAAGGTTGACAGTACTACTAGATGGACCCTGCCGACCATGACCCACCCAAGCAATCAACCTGCACATCGTGCATTTACACCGAGGATCTTAGCAACTACTGGACAGCCTCGATCTACTTCCGCTCCCCCGAAAATGGTACTTTTAAACGCGTTCCGCAGATGGCGAATGGCCGACTGAACAAGACTTTGCTGGAACAAGATGGAGGACTCACTGTCTACTACATGCGGCCATTTAGTGGCAGCAGCAAGAAGACTACTGTTTTCAAACCTGTAAGCAGTACACAATCTCTTTGTTGAATGCAAATGTGCCGTATTTGAGATGAGTGAAGGCTAACTTTTAAAAGGGCTTCCGCATGCTCGCCGGCAACCCCACGCTCCGCGGCACAGGCACAACCGGCATCTGCCACCGCTGCCTCTCAAAAAGCGACCGCATGATGGGCGGTAGTGGCTCGCCCTGCAGCACCGGCGACACCGCCGCCTTCCCCTCCAAGCCCTGCCCCGGCGGAATCCGCGCCACCATCATCTTCCCCTCATGCTGGGACGGCAAGAACGTAGATAGCCCGGACCATAAAAGCCATGTCGCATATGCACCTGGTAGTGCGCTTGCGGGAGATAAGTGTCCGAGTACGCATCCAGTGAGGATTCCGCAGGTCATGTATGAGATTATGTTTGATACTTCCGGGTTCGCAAACCCAGACTACTACAAAGGTGGAAAACAGCCGCTAGTATACAGCTTCGGTGATCCGTAAGTTAAGTTCCACTTTCGCCAAGTAGTATATTCTTCCATTCTGATCTATTTTGTTACTGATGAGTGTGTAGCACCGGCTACGGTGCCCACGGGGACTACCTCTTCGGCTGGAAAGACGATGCGCTCCAACGCGCTATGGATGGTCTCGGCACCAAATGCCATAGCGAAGACTGCACCGGCGCACTGAAGATCCAGTCCGGAAAAGATGCTATTGCTTGTACTAAGGCGCAGCAGGCTAAGGAGGATGCTGGATCGAACACTTGTATGTACCCTTCCTGGACCCGTGAATGGTTTGAACATGCTGTTAACAATGTTTTAGGGCTCAAGGAGCTCCCAGGGAATGTTCAAGTTGCTTAGGGGGGTTTGGACTGAGTTCGTGATCGAAGGGGTGGCGGCGGTGCTTGGAAGGGGGTGGAATCTGTATTAGGGCTCAGAAGCAGGGCAACCTGATAGTAATATTGTAGGGGAGTTTTCTTCGCACGCTCCTTTTGACACCCTTGTTTGTGCGCGTGATACATTGGACGGCGTGATACATGCTCCGTCCTAGGGGGCTTGGTTCTCTTTGTGTGCAAGAGGTTGTTGAGCTGTGAGGCACTAGCCGAAGCCAAATCTCAAATCTTGGAATAGCATAAATACCCCAGGCTAAATGTGATTTAATGTTCAGACTAGCTCCATGCTTGCTCTGTGCAAGGAGGCCCCAAATCAATGCCCTAGACGTGATTACTTTTCGGGCATACCGGTAGCTATATCGACCACCACGTCAAGCATGTTCCTTTTGACCTTGCCATAATACTTGGCAAGAACTTCCTCTTTCGACATATAGAATCACCATCCCCCGCTTCGTCAATCTGAATCCGAGTTTCTTATAGTCACCCGACTTTCCCAGCAGCCGATGACATTGAAGAGGCAAAACCCCCTGGTGCTGAAGAAGGCTAGCGTGAATCCGCAGGCCTTTATTCGTCATGATAAACTCGGGAGATTCCGTGCCAAAGCTATTCTAGCTGACATCTCCCATCTCTAGAAAGTCTCGGGGCGTGGTTACTAACAAGGTTTTCACTAGTCTTCGTCCTCATTCCGCCATGCGAGGACCGGTAGATCACCTGTCTCCTGTATAGTCTTCTCTTGCAGCCCTTTGAACGCTTTGGCTCCTTCACCATAAATCAAAGGCATATTGATGCCGATTATATCTTAAAGACAGTCTCGTGAACGTCAACGCCGCAACAACTCAAACAACAAACACATCAATTCTTATAGCCCGGTAGGAAATATGGGTTATGAGAGAAGTCATATATTGTGGACTAAGGGCTCGAAAAGCTATATGATTTATACACTATTGTAGGACATCAAGCCCAAGATTGATTGGGCAGCCCTCGAGCTTACAGTTCCTCACCCATTCCTCCACTGTCAATTCTCCCCCCCCCCGCATTCCCAGCGCCTCGTCTCGCTACGTTTCTTGCGGCCTGTAGTGTCGGCAAACTTTTCCCGTAGCATTCAACTTAGAGAACTTCAAGTTCTACAGATTTTGTAGCAGTTAGGGTTCCGACACAGCATAAAAAAGGTCTAGTTTTCTAGATAGGGGCGTAAATCAATATCTAATTTCTAAGCTACTCCAATTTAGAACCAAATAGTAGAGAATCCACAGTGCATGTAGCAGATGCTTCGATACTTCGAGTAAGAGTATCCGACTACAAAGCCAACTAGCGGACAGGCCTCTAGCCCCTTCAGCCCCTTCCCCTTTGTTTGCAAGCTGCTCTTGCGTCTCTTATCCTTCAAATCTCTTACCATCTTACACGTGGCTTCAAGGCCCCTCTTGGTATTCAGGAAGTATGTTTGCGAGAACTCCCTACCTAGCAATCTCCACGTATCTGTCCAACAACTCATCCACCGTCAGCATCCCACTCGCCTCCAAATTCTCAGAGTTCTATACTTCCCCACCCATATCATCTCTCGCTGGGTTCCCGAAAATCCCAGCCTTCAACGTACGATCCCAGAACGGACTGACAACATACACGGCATCCATAAGCAGGTATTCTGTGGGATGCTAAACCACATTGCTAAACTTGTAGCCGTCGTGTACAGTACTCGTTCTATCACTCAGAATAGTATCCTGGATACGTTGATAATTTCGTCACAATCAGGATGAGCCCGGTCGAGAAGGTTCCTGATTTTACCGTCTTTAACTTAAGATTGTTGGGATTTAATCGGGAGAAGATTCTACTGTGGCGGGTGTAAAAGCCAGTTTTCCTTTCTTACGGAAGCTTTAGAGGCCGGCGGAGTCGGGGTCGATGGAGTGGAGCTGGGCGAAACGGCGGCCTGAGGGGGAGAGGCCCTTTGAGTTGGGGTCTGCTATTATGCGGCCTTTGACAAATTCCACGACCTGATAATTGGTTAGTAAGGCTGTTCTTAGTAAAGTGGTCTGGAAATTGAGGGACCCATGAAGCTCCAAGGAATGACTGTCGATCTACGTGACTGTTGAAAGGTTGACACAGCTTATTTAAAAGGAAGTCCCAATAACAGAGCCATCCATACACAGACAATAGCCCTTAAGTACATGGAATATTTTTATGGAATATTGATGCCTTAATAACCCTAGCGTCGTGATCTACTAGGTGAGTTACTAGCGAAACAATCGCGCCCGTTGGATTCTTCCTAAGAATGTATCTCGTCTTATCCGCATCGCCAACAAATTACGTCAGATTACTCTGCCATAACAAATTGATAACCTTCATCTAAACCACAAATGGTTTCAGATTTGGCAGACAATCAACCAGAAACTTTCCCAGTGCCTCGTCCGGTTCGTACCCATTTCACTTTCGTGATACTTGACATTGTGGTCTTGGGCTTTTACGTTCTGTATAGCCTTGCAGTATGGGGAAATTTGATTCTGTTATGTATTTTTTTCCATGCTGAAGACTTGAATATGAAGCTGTAGAAGAGTGTTGTTCGAGAGGGCTCCATCGAGCGGAAGTTCGCCTTGGCGATTGACGGCACGATTTCTCTAAGAAGAGTAGAGTTGAGTTTGGAGGTCTGATATCCAAACTAGAAGCTCTGTGAAACCCTATTTTGAAATCCCAAAGAATGCTAGTTAGAATATGTCGCATACAATTATCCGCCTATATATATCCTTCTGCTGTGCTAGCTGGAAGGTTGACCTTTTGGCGACGCAACAGAATATTTAGACCTTGCATTGTTTTGAAGTGCAGTTTGCTTGTAGCACCACCAAGCATGCACGAAAGAGAGGAAAACATCATTATCTGTGACCGAGCCTAAACAGTACTCTAAAAACTATTCCCGTAAAGTATAAAATGGAGAGGAATTAAGCCGCCTACGCGTTCCGGAGCTTGCTCTTCAGAGCAACTAAAACACCCAATGCCTCCAAGGAACCCTTATTTAAATCTCGAGAATAGGAACACTAGCCGCAAACTCCTTCGCGACCCAAGCTCGCAGCTCGATTCCCATGAGAGAGTCGACACTGAAATCATGCATAAGCCGACTAAAGTTGACCTCTAACATGTCGATAGCTTTGGACTGGCTCCCCATAAGTCGATCCACTAGCGTCCTCGATACAATATCCTCGTTAATGTTGTGGTCTCCTGCCCATGGAAACTCAGAGATCTTGAGGAAATTGCGCCAGCGGGCCTCAAGCGGGTTCCCGTCCATGACTGGCCTGCCGACAAGATCCCGCTTCCGATAACGTCGGAAACGGAACTCCTTTCCGAGGGGCGTTCCTGACCAGTAGGTACGCGAGTGGTCGAACATACTCTAGAAGATTGACTCACCAGAAATGGTCACGCTCTCCGGCGAATTAATGCAAGCGACAACGAGTGCTGGCACCTTGGGGTCAGACTGGGAAGCTTCATCAATCAGCGGCTGTAGTGCCTCAGGAGAGCAGCGCTTTCAACAGTCGGTAATACTGACTATACTTTACGGTCCGTGCTTAGTTTTTGACTGTACGTACTGTAGTAAGGTGCCTACAGTAATATAAACAGTACTAACGTACACCATAGGCGAGTTGCTTACACACCTAAGTTACTTACTTTTACTAAAACTCTACTAAACTACTCTTTCTACACTAACGTACCTAACGGGTTGGCCGGCCACTTTTGCCAAGCCCCCACTAAACTCTACCTATCTACATAATGCCTTAACAACAACACTAGATTAAATCTTCTAAAGAACATTAGATACAGCTTACTCTTTAGGCTTTTAAATAAGACTTAAAACTTTCCTTACAACATGCTGTAGCTATCTATAATGTCTTTTACACAATACTAAGTAATTAACACGCTAGACAGCCTTTACAAGCAGAATGCTAGCCTAAATTAAGGAATCTAACTAAGCTTAAAAAAAAAGTAGTTATTAAGTACATACTTAAGCTTATTACACGCAGATTTCCCCTTAGGCTTATAGCTATAGCTAATATAGCTAATTCCTTGCCTACAGAGTGTAATCTAGGCTAGGTTAGCTTAAACTAGCCTAGTATGTAGGTTAAGCACTGCCCTAAGTTTACAATAAAGTTTAATTATAAGTATAATTATAAAAGAGTGCTTTATAAGGATCTAGAGGTTATCTAAGGCTAGTTTTGCCTAGTAGCTAACATAAAAGCTAAGTACAGTATCTAGAATAAAAACAGGTATAACTTTAACAAGTTAGGCTTTATAATAGGCTAGATATTAACTAGAGCAGTTATTACAGCTTTAAAGAGATAAAAACAGCTAAAAGTAATATAGTAAAGTAATAAAAAGTAAATAACAGTTATCTAGGGCATTAACATAATAGAGTAGGCTATAAGATTATAGAGCTTTAAGCAGTAAATAAGGCTGCTATGTAACATAGATTGCATAAAAAAAGTAAATTTAGGCAGAAGAGACCTTAATAGTTAAGGATAAAGCTTGTCTAACTGCTCTAAAGGAGTTTAAAGCGCGTAGTAATAGGAAAAAGCTAAAGACGCAGGTGCGCACTAAAGAAGGTAAGCTAAGTTAAAGGCAATATAGGCAGTGCAATTAGACTAGGCATAACTTATATATGTGTAAGTAAGTAGTAGAAGTAGACTTTAAATAATATCTTATGTTGTATTACTTTATACAGGGCTAAAGTGGGCTGTTTTGCGAGAGAATAGGGTGGTTTTAGTGGGGGCTTGGCAAAAGTGGCCGGCCAACCTGTGTGGCCGGCCAACCTGTTAGGTACGTTAATGCATTTCTAATAACACTACTTAAACATGCTAAAAGAATATTAGATATAGCTTACACTTTAAGCTTTTAAATAAAATGTAACACTTTTAAAGTAACATGCTATAGCTATATATAAGGTCTTTTAAAAAATAATAAATAACTAATACACTAGATAGCTTTTATAAGCTAATTCTATAGCTAACTTATAAAAGCTAAATAATAATAAAAAGTAGGTAATTATTAAGCATATACTTAAGCTAAATATATAAGGATTTTCCTATTAGCTAGCAGCTATAGCTAATATAGCTAATTCTTTACGCGCTAAGCATAAACTAGCCTAGTATGTTTATAAAGTGTTATCTAAAGCTAAAAGTAAAGTTTAAGTATATGCTTAATAATTACTTACTTGTTAAATAAGCTCTGACAGCTAGCTACTTATAGTTGTTAGATATGCGCACCTACTGTCAAGACAGGAGGAACGCTTGACGAAAGCTGCTACATAGTACGAGCAATAAGCTCGAACAGTATGTTGCTGCAAATTGCAGCATGTTGCAGCAAATTGCAGCAAATTGCAGCATGTTGCAGCATGTTGCAGCATTTTACAGCATTTTGCAGCATGTTGCAGCATTTTGCAGCATTTTGCAGCAAATTGCCAAGCTGGTCGCGCATAGGGCAAGTGCGCGAGGGACTCGGATCGGCAAAACAAAAAGCCGAGCAACACGAGTAGAGCAGAAAAAGGATCGATAAATCAACACAATCAATACAATCAATAAATCATCCCATACATCATATCCAAACCCATCATTCATCTTAGGAAGCCCAGAAACAGTGCTTCAATCTAACAATAGTATAAGCGCTTAAGTAGCAAAAGTAAGAGTGGTGTACAGTGTGCACAGCGTACAGGGTAGGTAGGGTAAGGGTAACATGTTTCTAGTTCTATTACTCTTATCTTTCCTCTATATAGAGAAAAAAAGGGATATCTAGATGTTTACGCACAAAGGTTTACACATAAGCATTATGTAACATAGATATGTAATCTTGCTTATGCGCAATAGCTAGTATCTAAAGTATAACACTACTGCTATGTATAGACACTAGCAACTTTTTATTTTTATCTAAAAAGTTGCCTTTTATATAAGTTACTTCTTTTTTTTTTATATATATTTATCTAGTTGTCAGATTGAAGCACTGTTTCTGGGCTTCCTGAGATGAATGATGGGTTTGGATATAATGTATGGGATGATGATTAATTGTATTGATTTATTAATCCTTTTTCTGCTCTGCTCGTGTTGCTCGGCTTTTGTTTTTCCGATCTGAGTCCCTCGCGCACTAGCCCTATGCGCGACCAGCTTGCAACATGCTGCAATTTGCTGCAACATGCTGCAATTTGTTGCAAAATGCTGCAACATGCAGCAATTTGCAGCAACATACTGTTCGAGCTTATTGCTTGTACTATGTAGCAGCTTTTGCCCAGCGTTCCTCCTGTCTTAACAGTAGGTGCGCATATCTGACACACCCCCTTAGCTTAGACATGCTTTAAGCTGGTTCCTAATTGCGCAACCTTAGTATGCTTCTAGGGCTTCCATTCTTGCTTTAATTTCTTCTATATCCGCTTCTTAACTAACTATTCTCTCCCTAATGTTAACTAGCTGAATTTGCTAAAGAAAGCTTAGCTATTTGCTAGCTAGAAGCGCTTTAGTAAGTCTGTCTGTAAGCATCTTACTAGAGGGGACATAGACAACCTTAATTGTTTGTTAAGAGACTTCCTGTTAGAGCTAGTAGTTATAAATGTTAACATGTTAGAGCTTAGTTTAAAGTTAAGATATCTCTTTATTTACTAGTTAAATTGTCTACTTATTATTGCACTAAATTATAATAGTTAAATTAGGCAGCTTAACTTATAGTTTATTAAGAAGCATTTTTATAAACATAGCTTTCTTAGTAACATAAGACAGTGTAAGTAATTCTACTTCTATTGTTAATATTATAACTATATTTTATTTATTTACTTACTATGCAATTTATCTACTAAATAGTTAAATAATGTAGCTCTAAAAGCTT